AAACGGTTGGTAGAAAGAAATATACTTTATCGCATTTATGTGGTGATTATACGTCGCGTAGATTCTTCGTAACGCACGAGAATTTTATGGGCTCGCGTTGTCCCACCGCGATGTTCAAATTTTACAACGCAGTGCTTTGCTTCGAAAATTTATTGTTCGCAGCGCGCATATAAATTTCACACGCAAAAATGACGCACGGTAAAGTGCGAATGTGCATTCAATGCATACTATAGTAGTATACATAGTAAGTGAGGAGTATATATGAAGAGAATATTAAAATGTGAATGCAAGATCATGAATATTTTTGTGTCGAATTTGTAATGCCGAGAGGCAATGTCGGTATCATATTTTCATAAAACATATATTTTTATTAGTTTTTTATCATTTTTGTAAGTTATTTATTTTGAAAAATTGTTAAACTGTTAACTTAAGAGTTGTTGTCACAAATTTGTATATAATGCGTGGTATCCATAAAAAGATATGTATCAAAAGCACGAACGTGCTTTTAGAGAAACACACTTTTATATCCCTGAAAGAAAGAAGATACGTATAGCATTTCTTTTCATTTGCCTTCAAGTTACATATACAATGCGACATCAGTCACTTTATTTTCCGGATATCGGGTTAAGGCACGAAAATGGATGCCATTTCTGTGCGTCATCGTCGGTATCGTCGCTAATATCCGCGCGAGCAACGTCACACGGTATCTCGTACACAGGACGACTCCGCCCGTAATCGCTCGCAGTTCGCATAAATTGCCAATGTTCGAAATTATTCCATCTCGGTGATTAATAATCGGCATCATCACAAAATCTTCTCTTGCCAAATGCTGACGTACGAGGCGCGCCATGCCAGTTGAATCGATCCGAAAGAGAGGAGGCTATCTCAAGCCTATGAGAGCCGGGAGTTGGAGGCTGCCGAAACTTTATAGCCAATCGCTATCGTGAAACATTTATCGAATTAATTTCTGGCGCTTGCCAATCTTTGTTTCCTATGGATTATTATCGTGCACTGATTCGAAAATAACAAAAAGATTACGCCGCTTAAATTTGTCTTTCGTTTCATTCAACAAAAGTTTGGGAAAGAGATAAAATTTGTTATAAAGCAATTAAATTCAAGAGTAAATTTAATATGTCACGTCATGATCTTTTCATTTAATGTCTTACTCATTGATATCCTTAATTTAATTAATTAATTAATCAAATTTTAACGAATCTATGCTGCTAATTTTATGCACGATGAACAAACAGATATAAAAGATACAACAAACGAAAGATTTATTTTTTAAAAATCTGTTTACACTGCTTTATTCACATTTATTTCTCCATTAAGGTAATATCTAAAAAAATTTTTAATTAAAACTCCTACATGTCTGTTCTCTCTTTCTTGATATATATATTTTCATGTGTTTTCTGAAATGTAATAATAACTAGAAATGCAAATATTTTGTTTCTCCAAACAGGTACCAACGCACGATAATTAAAATATTTCTTCGACCCGATTACAAATTGTTAATGAATTGTTAATGAATTCTACGTCATATAACTATAGCCATCGTGCTACGCATAGCTAACTAAGAAACTCGCAACTCATTGCCATTTCATTGAAAATGCCTGTTCTTTCTCAATAATACTTGTCTCACCCTTAAAATAAGCTGATCTTAGTTTGCGTACGTCGATGCATACCGTGAAATTGCGGAATTCTTTGTGTCGGCATATATCGTGTCCTTTAGACTCTCTCTTCAGTACGTTCTGCTTACGTTCGAAGCCAAGTTTGAACTTGCTGCCCACCGATTGATTAAATAGACAATGACTCATCGTTACGCCAGCTTAAAGTTTTCTAATCTCATAAAAGCAGACCCTTTTTTTAGACGATCATCTCGTCCAAGAAAAATATACACCCAAGATTATCGCCGAATATATCCGATGGCATTACAACGATTGCTCGATCTTTCGGTGAAATAAATGATATCATCGAGTGTAATCTTATACATCAATCACGTTTCAAATTTCACTCAATATTCCTCCCCAATATTTCTTCTAAAGACAGGGGAGAGTAATTCGTATTTATCAGGAAAATGAATTTTTATTTTTCGAAGAACAAATTCGCGCAAATTGGGATGCTACTATTAGGAATATGTTCGGTATTTGATAAATTTTGCAACGCGAACTATAATTTTACGAATTATTAATCAGTTGCAACATCGATATCAGTAGGCAGTATCTAATCGGCCATTATGTCCGCACTCTAAATTAGGTCGCTGTCTGCTGTGTTTTCGTACTTTACGAGTTGGTAAACGTCGTTAACGAGACAATAAGCTCTCGTGTTTGGCGTCAGCGTCAGCTACCTCGTGCAAAATCGTGCACTTACGATGCACGATGCACGTTCAGGCGCAAAATTGTTTCGCTCGCGGAGATATATTTATTCTCGGCAGTATTTTTTTTTTTTTTTTTGTAACGCTTGCGAACGAGGAATCGATACGTGTTTGTTATGGGGCGCGTGTACGGTTTTGTACGGAATTTCAATTTCATTGCGTGGAGTGTCACGGGACGATATGGCGATATCCACTCAAATTCACATAGGCTAAGTGTATAATTCGCGCGATCAGTGTTATTAATTCAAGTTAACTTCCGTTTCGCTTCCCTGTCCCTAACTTCGTGATGTGGGATGATGAATCTCCGCGTATCGCGAAACTCGTTTTCGCTCTCGGAGTTTAGTAGATTAGAGCGGACTCGGCGAGGGAGATACTGTTTTATATTTACTTGGTAGAAGCAGACTCGTCCCATCTCGATGAAGAAGCTCTAAAATGCGCCTCGCGTGGGAGGAAAACTCCCCGGAGAACTATATCTTGCATTTTAACTCGCTTCCGCGAAGGAAGCGTTTCCTTTTCCTATATATCTCATCTAATAATGCACCACCGTTGTATTCCGTTTCAGGACCCCCTGAATAAAATCGATTTCACATTAGCATTAAATTTTGCGTAACCGTAACAACAGAAACTTATAACGTCGACTTTCCTTAGCAGCATACTTTCCAAGTCTCTACCTGATATTACTTTATTGCATCGATGAAATCGTGCCGATGTAATATTTCGTCAATTGGGCCAATTTGGCGGTTAGCCAAAAAAATATAGCTTCTTCTCTGTCGTCACGTATGATCTATAAATAAAATATCTATCTCCGGAATATCTGAACGTTTTATTTTTAGCATAACAATTCGTTCGCTTGATTCAACTGAGAAGTATTTAATTAGACATATGCATTTATTCATGTACTTCGTGCCGCTACGTTAGAAACATATATATATGCATAGTCATGATAGAACATGTATAAACAATTCTTTTTCTCCCGAGCCCCGGCGTGACGTGAAAGTTAATGAAGAAATAATTGAAAATGTGAAACGTGAAACGTCGTCTCTCTCTCTCTCTCTCTCTCTCTCTCTCTCTCTCTCGTATTTCCCAGATTCTCCTCTCGATACCGCGTAAGCGCATCGAGCCCTTTCGATCTGATATCACGTGAACACAATGTTCCACCGGTGCCGTTGGTCTCTCCCTCGCTCCTCCTCTCGGCTTCTGTCACGCGTGATTGACGACGACGCTTCGTTAGACGCGTCGGCGGACATGCCGAGGCACAGGGAGCGCGAATGCGCCGTAGGATCGAAATGCGATACCACGGAGTGACAGAGATAGAGAGGCGCGAGCGAGTGACAGCCGGTCGGAGGAGCGAACGGCGAACGGCGAACGGTGAGACGACGACGACGACGACGACGACGACGACGGTCGCAGCTTAACACACACGCTCACAGAGAGCATGCCCGCGGCAGCGGGTGAGTACGATGACGCTCCTCCTCGCTCCTCGCCAACTGGGTTCGCAAGGGGGCAGCTCGTCGACGCTCTCTCAGTCCGACAGCACACGCGACCTCGCGCGGTTCACGCGAACCTGTGTGCTCGTTGTCTCCTCGCGAGCCACCCTTCTGCCTGCGTCTTGCCGCTTCATTCCCCGTCTCCTCCCCCTTCCCCCCCCCTCCGTCCTTACCTCCAGCGGGAATCTGAGTGACGCGCGAACGGACCGCGTCCGCGTCTACTGACGACGACCGACCAATGTGCGTGATCGATGATGACGTCCGGTTGGAAAGCCTCGTGGGTCCGGTCGAGTTACGCCGGCCGAGGACAAGTTGTTAACTAACTTCTGGATTAGCAGTTCTCTCCGTAGATTGTGGTTCCGCGCGGCGCGGCGCGGCGCGGCGAGGGGGGAGGGAAACCTGGTTATCCTTGGAATATGGCTAACTAGCGTTTTACCGCTACGATTGCTGGGTCGTAACATCCCCCCGAGTGAGTTCTCGCAGCGTGTACGCGAGGCGGATACAAAAGGGGCGTCGAGAGGGGAGAGAGAGGAGCGGTCCAGCGACCAGCATTCGACGGTGAGCGTCCACCTGAGAGGTGAAAAAGTCAGTTTCACTCGGATTACGATTGCTCGCATCGTTCGCGCGGATTTGCTTCCCTCAAATAGGTTTCTGAATTTTATTTGGATCGGTTAATTACGAAGTTCGCGCGAGCTCCTCGAAACCCTTTTATCCCGCGGTAAGAGCTCCCACGACTCTGATAGCTTTTGCAATTAGCGGGGCGTGTGAGAACGTACGCGGGGGGGGGGGATGAAACTGCATTAGGTGTAATAGCACCTGGTTCTTTTTTTTTTAAGTAAGATTTTCTTTTTTCGCCCCGAAGTTCCGGAGCTCGACATTCCCTGGTCCCTTCGTTCTTTGTCGAAGCCGGGAAGCGTGGAAATTTCTGAAATAGAATCGAGATATAATGCCGCTCCTTCTATAGAAAGAGGAGATTGCAAAGGCAATCCCCAATATCGCCTCGATGTCGAGTATAATTATATATAAAGACCAAAATCCAGTTTGATTGTTCCTCAAGTGGTGGCATTAATTTGTAAATGTGCGAAAAATATCCGTTTAATAACTAATAACGACGAAATCGTGCGAGTACGATGCGAGTATTGCGTAATCAAAACATTCACTTGTAATTTGTAAAAAAAAAATGATCACTTTATACTCACCATTAAATTTATATTAAATTAAATGATTCCCAAGATAAATTTCAAGATGTTGTCTTACTTTCAATTGTGCCAAATACGTATTTGCGGTAGGAGATCAAGTGAAGTGATAAGAATTAATACGTGATAAGAGATAAAATTGATTATATAAATACTATCACGATCCTCTTCTACTTTGGAGTACTTGGAGCTACCGAGAAATGTTTTTAATTTCAACAAGACTTTGTTTACTTTGCGAGGTTGCTCTTTCTCTCTCTCCTTCGCGTCTCTTAAAATTCTCCACGTGTCATTAAATTAATAATTCTAAAATTGCAAAACTTACGTAACCGCGCGTCAGAGAATGAACTTTAAGGCAACTTTAAGGCAAAGTTTCTTCCTAACGATTAAAGTATTTTCAAGGTATTAGGAGTTCCAGTTTATCTCGTTACGACGGGGTGAGGAACGACGGGAACGGGTTCCGCTTACGAAAAACCTAAATCCGCCGTTTCTCGCCGTCACGCGACAGCGTGTAATTTAATTAACCGAATAGTTTCGGCCAATGAAATTCGCGAGATTAGATTTGCACGCGAGCAGCTTCATCTCCTCGCGATTGCGTGCAAATTATCGCGGAACTCGCGTACCTCTCATTACCGATCTTCTTCTCGCCGCTCGGCAAGAAGAATTTCTTTAGAATATAACGCGAATATGCATCTCGAGACGAATACCGTCTCGTTTTCTCCGCGTTCTCATCTCTCGATGGGCAAAGTATCCGGAATCACTTCGCGAACGCGATGGAAAAGCACGCGACGAGCCGACGTTCATTAATTAGCGATACACGCGAGCGAGCGATAATGCTCTCGCTCGCGGAATGGCGTTATAAAGATAAAAGAGTAGCAGAGTACGAAACTAGATTTCTATCCTTTCCGCGAGGGATTCGGGAATTGATCGAGTTTCGTTGTTGACATCTCGTCGACTCACTTTGCGTCGCGCGAGTCCGTCGATTTTTTTGTGCGCACAGGGTGACATCCATAAAAAAAGATGTAATACCCTCCTCTCGCGTGACATTTCAGATATCTGGTTTTCAATTATTCAAAGAGAAAATGTTCATCTAGCAGATAAAACATTGCAGCTCATGGCGTAACGTGGCCAATTTTTTATCCTAACTACCTGCCGTTCACCTGCAGGCAATTGTGACAGCGATAGAAGGAATAACCGGGTTTTTTGTTTGCCTTTATCTCGTTGTACAGCTGACACCGTGGGGGTGATCCCGTTGAAGACCCAAAGGGAGCGTAACGCGGCCTGTAGGAGTATAAACTTGCGCACGATAATGATAATACAACTTGTTTTCGGAAGAGCCTTTTATTTCGTAGACGAGTGGAAGAAAAAGAAGAGAAGGTATCAGCTGTGTAAATAAAATGTTGATAAGTTACCGTTAAGGAAATTGACTTTCTTCACCCGGGGCTTATTATGCCGGGCCTTGATGGAATCCGCCGGTATTCTACATTTTGCCGTCTTGAAGGAGTTCTTTGTGCGGCTTTAAAAGAACCTTGAACTCGAACAAAAAAAAAAAGACTCGACGTTCTTTGAATTTTTAATCGATAAATCGTAAACTAGATGACAGCGCAGTGTCGCGTTTAGCGATTATATATATCGGATAATTCCAATCGAGTCTTATTAAAAATAATTATCCAACGCGATCCGGCGATAATACTGAAGTATTTTGTTCGTTTTTTTTTTTTTTTTTTTTTTTTTTTTTTTTTTAGCTTTGTTACCAGGGAACGTTATTTCTTCGTTGAATTGTTCGTGGAATTGTTTCCTCCGCAATGGCGCAATTTCGAAACATTTGCTAACATTATGAATTTTATTTAGTTTTGCGCTGGATTTTTACAATTGAAATTTGATGAAATGAAAATAGGCCGAATACACGGTGAAATATATACGCCGCGGCTGATACGTGAAAAGAAAAATATCATTTTTTTATCCAAGCCGTTCATAAATCTCTTAAATTCAATTAGCTCGTGCAAGCTGAACGAGAGAAAAAAAAATTCATTTAATTATTTTGTATATACGCGATATATTATAACTACGCGATATATTACATAACTAATATACGAAATATAACTACCATATTACACATGGTAATTTTACGAAAATATTGGCATATACGCATATAAATTGAGTGAAACCGTTAAAATACTTTCCGCGAGCCGCTGTATATATTACGCATCAATTATCCTCGTTTTATTGCACATATAAATGGTAGGTCACCCGCTAATGAAACGGTATTATCTAAAATTTTAGAACCGATACAACAGAAACGACCTCGATTCGGCGTAACACGCGACGCCGGCTCCACTCCAATAAGTCATTAATCCAAAACGTCCGGTTGTATGAACAGGGCGCGCTCGCCGTCGAATTTCGCCATCGATTTCGTTAATTGATCTATTTTTGGCATTCTGGCTGTTTTTTTTTTCTTTTTTTTCCGTGCCACGATCCATAGTACGTGCGCCACGCGAGCGAGAATCGTCGGGCCGCGACGACGAATCTTTCGCTCTCGCATCGCGGCGAATTTAATTATATCCGGGAAAAACGTGTGGTGTATTCGTATGTGTGTGTGTGCGTGGCACTATGCAGAGGCCTGGACCATGTGCCAGAACTAACTTTGTTTTTCGCCAGACCGCTGTCGACATTGACACCCGGAGCAGCCGGTGCTCGCCGATGTCACATGACAGCCCGGGCGATGGCAGGAGGACGATGGCGTCGCATCGACGGACGCATCGTTCTTCGTGCGTCGCTTTTTCGACGATGCCAGGACGGAAAGTAGGCCGTCGTGGCGTGCTGAGAAATGTCACATCTGTGTAAAAAAAAAAAAAAAAATGTGCGACACGACCTTTCCACAGTTACTTTCGCGCGAGTCCCGCGCGCGTCGAGACGCACGCTGCGAAATATACGTAATGATTCGCGGTCGCTTTTATTTATTTATTTATTTTTTTTTTACTTCTCCCATTTCGAGGGTTTAACGGTCGACTCGGCACGCTTTGTCGCTCGATTGCTCTCCTGCGATCGGTTTTTCATGGCATTGAGCGATAGCCGGGCGTGGACGACGGACATGCGAGGTGCGTTTTAGGAGGATATCTCGTTCAATCGAATTTCTAGAGAAATGTTCCTGTTTAAAGGGAACGATTAGCGGCACGAACATGGCCGCAACATCAAAATCGCATCGCGCTTTAATCGAGTTAATCATTTCAACGGGAACGCTATCTCAAAATCCACAGTTGTCAAAGGAAAAAAAAACCGAAACGTGTTGCAAAGAGAAAAGAACGCGAGGCACAGTGAAATTTCAATTTTCAATGTTTTTTATAATAAAGTTTTTTTCTAAAATAAATGAAAAGCTCGACAGTAATCACGTTTTTGTGGCAAAAATAATCTTTCGATTTGACAAGATATTTTCATAAAAAGGTGTTATTTCGTATAATAATTTTGACAGGACGTTTTTATGTCGATATATATATGAAAAGAGCATTGCTCGACGGCTTTGGCAATGTAACCGATATGACTTGCGGCAGTTTGGAAATGTAACGACATCGATGCGGATTGCGCTCTCACGAGCTTTGCAAAATGAGAAAAAAAATATGAATTGATAGTAGACAAAGGAAATAGGGAATTTCTCTGCGTTACTAACGTATATTATCCTCTCGTTAGTTTTAATGATTTCCACATAACGATTGCATGCTGGTTACTTTTTTCATAGTGATCAATGACGAATATCGTCATGTATAATAATAACAGACATAACGGCCAGGTTGAGCAGCTTATTTTATAATGAACGACGCAGAGATAGATAAAATACATCGTACTTTCAATGATTGTTATCTTTACAAGCTAATTATTCCGTTATATTTTTTTTAAATTGCGCGTCAGTATGCGTCAGAGCTTCAATAATGAATTTATCGAATTTTCCATTTCGTTTTTTATACGCTTTGTGAAGTTTACAATCTTTGGATTACAATCTTTTTCCTTTAAATTATTTAAAGCAGTGCTCACTTTAAAAGGATACGGATATTTAATAAAACTTTTCGTCAGATTCTCTTCTGACTTTTGACGGCTTGATAATGTTGTTTCTTTCATCTTGACAAGATAAATTTAATCTCTAGGGATGATACGCTTCAGCCATATTTCAGGGCATCATTTCAACTCGGAGTACTCGTTCTGCACAATACCGGATTAATTGAGACAGGAACTCTCGAACTTTTCTAAATATTGTAAATACATAATGTCAATGTGGGAAAGGGAAACCAACGGAAAGTAGATTGTTTTACTTTTTTATTTAACTTTGTGGAAAAAGATGTGAAAGTGGCTCTGTAAATTAGCTTTGTGAAAGCT